TATTGAGAAAGCACCATAAGTAAGAAAAAACGTCTGACATCATGCAGCAAATCCTAGTTCAGCAACCTTAGATATCATTCGTATGCAAAAACGTTGAGATAAATTCGAATTGATTACGGACTGCCACTTCGTGACTTAAACTTGTTTCAAAACAGGTTGCACGGTATGGCTTGTGCTAATGCATCTTTTTTTGCAAAGTCACGCATGGAGCACTGCTGAACACAGTTTTAAAACTGCGAAGATTTATCATAAATACCATTATACAAAGATATAATACTATTGTGCAAACTGTGGCTATGCTTCGAGAACCTGCAATATGAGGCTAGATGTTGCACTTGAGAATAACCGTATCTGGTTTCCTACAAGAGCTGGCGAAAATCAATGGACAAATGAAAGTTACACACGTAAATGTTCATGAAAGTCAAGAAAGCAAGAAACAGCGTGAAAAGTGGAAACACCCCTACCAGAATATGAATGTGTCCATTCAGGAACTGGATTCATTATACATTACAAGAACTCGGAAAAGGTTATGTGAAGAAAAAGAGAAAATACGTTAGGAATGAAAGAACGCCGCTGCCAATACTACTATAGATGCTGTAGATCGTTTCACATGAGACAGTAGCTCACCAGATCGTTTGAAAAAAAAAACAAGAAGTAAATGGTATGTGAATATCAATAAACCTTTGGAGATAGCCTGCCGTATGATAAATTAATAGCAAAAGGAAAAAAAGATATGATAAATAAAGGAGAGGGATATTCAGACAATACCAGCGTATCACAGAATGAATGCGGTACAACACATAGAAGAGCTCATAATTGCAAGTAACAAACCTAAACACGTACGCCAATATCGTCTTTTGAACGTCGAGCTTCACATTCAATGAAATTCCGCAGACGCTCAAGATAAGCAGCGTGAAGTTCAACATCGTTATGACCAGCGCCTAAATATAACTTTATATTGGTGGAAAAGTGGATGAAGCCATACATGACTCCTTCTATAGGTATTAAAGTAAACGTAAACAAGCATCTGAAGTCAGTTCCATACAGGCGAAAGCAGCAAAACCACAAAAAATTTAAACGATTATTTGAGCCAACTCCAGATCAATAATAACGTGGAGAATAAAACTTTTTGGGAAAAAATCAAAGGAATATCGATGTAAATGAATTATCAAAATCGAAAAAAGGCTCATATTAGAGAAAATAAACCTTACGTTTCACTCTGTTGATAATACCACTTTTACAAACTTTCAAGACTAAAAATACTGTTACCGGAAGATAAACTTCATTACCTGACACCCACAGCGGCTCAACAGATGCTGGACATCGCTCGTAGATTGAAACTCCATGAGAGAAATCGATTACCTAGAAAGTAAAAAGTAAGCAATATCAGAAACGATAGGAACGTCACCTACTTCGTCATCTGTTCCATGAATTACAAGCGTAGGACATTTCACGCGAGGAACTTTCTCTATAGATGGGAAAGCATCGCAACACCTGAACAAATTAATTATAATCAGTGAAGCTAAACTACTTAAAGAGTATGTGTACTCTCTCAAAGAAAAACACACGTACTCTCTAACCGATAGCATTATCCTGGAAAGTAAACGAGCGATAAAATTCACCAAGTACGCTGAGTTCCTGGGAAAGCGACACGCATTCCACTCATTAAAGGAGAGTGTAGAATAAGTGCAGCCACATCTTCGCGACTAGCTAGATCTACGCTCGGGACTGTGCCTATCGACTGCCCATAGAGTATTATACGATCGGCCGGCACACCTGTAAATAGTTCCTTACAGACAGGATGGGACAAATCCCGCATGCCCACGTTTTATAATTGTAAGTTTCTAATTATTTTATTATTTGAAGTTGTCTTAATAAGAAAAAAATGATAAATAATCTTCTACAGAAATAAAGCTTATCTCTTCAAAGAAGATGGTGAAGTGGTGCAATTTTTTTGACTGTCAATCTATACGACGCCATGAAACAAAACAAAAAAAAAAATAACTTTGTGAGCTCCTGACGCTCTAGCACTCCCCGAATGATAAAAAGCAATTTTGGGCTTCTGGGTTTTTAACTCTAATCAGAGCTGTTGACTAACAAGAACATAATAAAAGCTCTGAGTCGCTACTTAATCACAATATCCTCAACTACGTATATGCTTGTAGATAATTCGAGCTCTAAAAAGCCAAAATTGGCTTTGATTGTGATTTTAAAAAATTTGATTTACATCATACAATGAAAAAAACATGCCTAATCCTTTCAAAGTTTCGAAAGCACATGCTATATCGGCGTATAGATTCTTCTCAGATGGTCTGCCTGACGAACATCCATACCCTGAGATACGTAGATAATTCAAATTAAA